CAGCGCACCGGTGTGCCCCCTCCTCCCGGGGGCTCCTGCCTCTGCCGTGGGTTCAGTTTCCCCACGCAGAGGCCTGGAGAAGCTGGGTGACCCTCATCTCGTGTCCTCGGTGAAAAGCAAGAAGCCGGGATAATGCCCAGGTCAGTGACGGCTCCCTGCGAGGTCTGGCAGAGCCCAGCTTTTCCTCGGAGGCTGGCTCGGGCCAGGGCCGCCACCTGGGACCTCCTCACTCCTGGGGCCCCCAGGCTGCCTCATGGCACTGCGGAGCCTCCTTCTCCCGTCTCCGGGCAGGTCTGGGATGTGTTGGCATGGTTCCAGGCACCGTCCTGACTGTGGCGTCTCTGCCAGGCCTGGGGCCACGTGCTGAGGGGGGTCAGGCTTTCTCGTCTGAGCCAGGCCCAGAAGCCAGGACTATCCCCGGGCTGCCTGGGAGCTGGGTCCCACCATGGCCACTCTAGGCATCCCTGGCGTGTCGGCCCAGCCAGCCCTGAGTGCCCGCTAACCAGATGACCAGAGCGGCAAGCACCGGTGCCGACCCTGGCCTGCTGCAGGGCTTCCCGGTCGGGCCTGGCCGAGCTCCTGTGGTGGGGAGAGGCCCTCCTCGGACCCGGAGACTGCTTCCCCAGGCCCATGTCTCAAATTGTGGCGGGGCAGCTGGCCAGGCGTGTGCTCTTTCCAAAGCCCCCCAGGACCATCTCACCCCAGTGTTTCCCGTGGAAGCACCTTGCTGGCGGGAACTGCCGAGCTGTGTAGTGGAGCCCGTCCAGGCGCTATCCCTGCAGCTGTGTGAGGTCAGCGGTTGGTGCTGATGTGCTGGCTGCTGCTCGCCCCGTCTGCGGAGCGTCTGCAGGACGGTCATGGGCAGAGGGGGCTGCCCGGTGACGGAATTTCTCTGCCAGCGGCAGTAGGCAGCCAGGGGCTGGTTTTAACCATAACGTGACACAGCCAGCGACTGCCCCCGGAGAGCCTGGGCTGTGTGGGCCACAGCCCGTTCCCGAGTACCTGATGACACTCCAGGACACTCCCAGCCCATGCCCGTCCTCGCCGTCTGTCCTGGGCGAGGACGCAGTGCTGGCCTGCATGCTCAGCCCTCCCCATGGGGCCCTGCCCAGCACAGCCCATGCTCCGTGCAAGCCCTCCCAAGGCTGGGACGTCCACCTGACACCCGCCACCCAAGACCTCGAGGCCTACCCAGCCACCTTGCCACTCCCCAGCTGCTGCCAAGGCCGCGCACCACCTCATGTCTGTGAAGGTGGCCTCGGCAGAGCCATGAGCAGGACCACTGGACCCAGTGAGGCCATGGGGCCCGGCAGAGGCTGTTGGAGTCAGAGCAGCCCTCTCCTTGGCAGCTTTAGGCAGGAGGCGGTGGGCAGGCACGGGCGGTGTGTGGTCAGCCACGTACACCGGGCCCACCCAGCTCTGCAGACTGTGGCCCAGGCAGGTCAGGGCCCGGTGCCGTGCGGGTACTGCGGGGGGTGGACGTGCTGGCGGGAGCTGGGTCTGGCCCAGGCAGGTCAGGGCCCGGTGCCGTGCGGGTCCCTGCGCCTGCTCCTCGCGGCCTTCATGATGCTGCTCGCCTGGCCCTTCGCACTCATCGCTTCCCTGGGCCCCGCAGACAAAGAGCCCGAGCAGCCCCTGGCCTGGTGGCGGAGGTGAGTGGCCGTCGGTGGGTGCTCTGCGGGGGCCCACAGCAGGGCAGCTGCCCACTGCTCCCCTCTGAGCTGGTGCTTCTGGGCTGCCACCTCCTCTGAAGCTGGAGGCTGGTCCCTCCCACACCCCCAGCCGCCGTCCTGCACCAAGGCTTCCTCCTCAGGGTTCACAGGGTGCGCACCTCTGCTGCCACACCCCGAGCACCAGGGTCCCACCCCCTCCCCAGCACGGGCTGCTCTGCACCAGGACCAGCTGTGTCCCTGCTGCCTGCAGGCTGAAGTCCAAGCTCCCAGCCACCATGTCCTGCTCTGACCCTCAGCTCCGGCCCTGCTTGCGGGAATGCCCACCCCGGATGCCTGGCCCCATGGGCTCTTCGCAGCAAGCACCACGCTGACCCGGCCTCCCTCTAGGGCGCCTGGCCCCGGCTCAGAGCCGTGGATGGGAGGGACCGTCTTCCAGGGTCAGTGCACAACTCAGTGGGAGTCACAGGCTGAGCGTGAGCAGCCACTCTTAGTGGGGACTCGCCGTCAGGACCCCTGCTCCAGCCAGTCCTGGCAGCACAGGCACTCCAGACATTGGGGTGTCCTCCCGGGGCAGCCATCTGTGGGGCCAGGCTAGGCCCTGCCGTGGGGGAACGCCCGTGCAAGGCAGAGGTCCCAGACCGTGGGCTAGCACCTGTGCCTCGCCACCCTGCGGCCGCTCCCTCTGCTTCACGGACCAAGCCGCTTCTCGGCCTGAAGCTCTGAGACCTGGCTGTCCAGAGCTGGCCGCCCAGGCCGAAGGCTGGCCCAGACTGCGGATGCCGTGTCACCATGCACCAGGCCCGCGTCCCCTTCGCCCCTAAAGCCGTGGCTCAGTGCCTGAGTGGGTGGGACAGTGAGAGCCGGCAATTCGGATAAGCATTTCAGCTCTTAAAGTTGCCGCCATGTCGGAACAGAAGCGCGGCAACCACCCCCCCAGTGTGGCCACCTGTGGCCAGTCCTCAGCGGCCTGTGCCGACCAGAGCCCCACGGGCCCAGCACAGCACTGCCTGCCTCCGCAATGCGTGTGCGTGCGTGTTGGCCAGAGGGTGCGTGTGCGCCGAGAGGGTCGGGAGAAAGTACCCCATGGAAGTGCTCACGCTGCGAGTGCTCCATCCCGCGCTCTCCTGACACGGGGCACACGCCTGGCGTTTCTCACACCACCGGGCCAGGCTTCAGGCCACAGCTGGCCACACGGGATCCTACCCACACACTGTAGCACACCCGCCCCGTTAAGTTTACCTGAGGCTAGGGCTGCTGTCGTGGGGCAGAGTGTGGGGCGGGGCCCTGTGGCTGTGAGGCCCGCCCTGCAGGGCAGAGGCTGCCCGGCCCCCACACCCGCGGCGTCTGTTACAGGGTCTGTAGCACCGGGGCGGGAGGCCCTCCGCCCTCCTCAGACCTCAGGCCGCTGTCGGGGCTACACGCGGTCTCTGACAGGCGGTGCTGGCCCCCAGTACTTGGGCAGTAGGTCCTCGCTGGCCTCCACCTCTTCACTGTACTGTTTGGTCCTCCTCCAATCCAGTGTTATCTGAGGGTCTTCAAGACACATTCCCTGCACAGTGGAGGGGACACGCGGAACGCGCCAGGCCACACAGTGTGAGCCGGGAGGACCAGGGACATATGGAACATGTGGGGTCACAAAGTCTGAGCTGATGGGACCAGGGACACGCCGGTCAGCCCAGTGTGAGCCGGGGGGTTGTTGGGAGGACCAGGAACAAGTGGAACATGCCAGGCCGAGTCAGGCGGCACGGTCCGACCGAAAGCCCTGCGTGGGCCCGCGGTGACCATCCCGACGCTGTTGGCTGTGGCCGGCCTCATGGGTGCCTCAGGCTCGGCTGCCCCGGCTCCTCTTCGCTGGGTCTCGCGCTCTACTGGGCCGAGCTCCCCCCATCCTCCCCACAGGCCGTCCCTCGGAACACGAGGCTCGGGGTCTTATTTCCCCACGCAGACCCCGGGCTTTCCTTGCCCGTGAGCAGCGTGCTCCGCTGCAGCAGGCAGTAGACGGCCACGGCGGGCACTGCTTCCCACGGCCCGCTGCCTCAGGCTTAGCTGCGTGTGCGACGTGCATGTGCAGGGCCACAGCGAGGCGCTCGCCATGCACACAACGTGGACGTCTGGTCTGTGAGGGCACGTGTATCGTGTGTGTGCACATGTATGAGAATCAGCATGTTTGTGTGTGGATGTTTGTGTACTTGTGAACATGTGTGTTCACACATGTGTGAGAGTTTGTAAACATGGTGAATGGGCTTAAGTGCATGTGTGCACGTGTGTGAGAATGTGTACATGTGAGAGGCTGCTCGGGTGCACACGTGTGCTCGTGAGCATGTGTACATGTGTGGAAAGGCACATGCTAAAGGCTGAATGTGTGTGCGCTCGTGCACATGTATCATGTTCATGTGAAAAATGCATTGTGCTCATGTGCACACTTGAGTGTGTATCAGAGTGCCTGTGAGTTTGTATGGCTGTATAGTTCATGCATGTTCACATGCACGCTTGAGTGTGTATCAGAATGTGTGTACATATGAATTTGGCTGCAGTTCATGTGTGTTCACGTGCACATCAGCTAAGGATGTGCATGTAAGCACAGTTATGAACGTGTACCCGCGTGTGTGAGCATGCTCGTGTGCACTCGGACATGTGGCCTGGGCTTGGTTTGGCGGCCCCAGAAAATGGGAGGCGCTCGCTGCAGCTCCTCAGGGAAGCGGCGACCAGCCCGCCCAGATTCAGTTTGGGAGGTCAGGTTCCCAGTGTGGCCCCTCCAGGTGTGGGTCGTGGAGCCGGCTGGAGGGCGAGGTCCCGGCTGGAGGGCGAGGTCCCACCCGGGTTCGGTTTGGGTGGTCGTGGAGCCGGCTGGAGGGCAAGGTCCCAGCTGGGTTCGGTTTGGGAGGTCAGGTTCCAAGTGCAGCCCCTCCAGGTGTGGGTCAGGCAGCTGCAGAGGGGGCTTCTGCGAGCGCTGATGTCCTTCAGCCTTCCTGAAGTGAGAGCCCCCTCAGGGAGCGACAGCTTTGCAGAGGCCCTGCTCAGTCACCTTTGCCATGCGGAGTGCTGTAAGGTTGTGGTCTCCTGGGCAGCTCTGACCATCGAGCCCCGTCCCGAGCACAGATGGTGACGGCCCCGGGTGCTGCCCCTCAGAGAGCAGGTGACCCACAGGTGGGTCCCTTCTGCTGAGGCTCCCGTCTGCAGTGCAGGGCGTGTAACCTGGAGAAGACCAGGGACCTGGCGCACCACCCTGGGGCCGAGCTCGGACTCGAACATCCGGAAGCAGAGCCCTCGCCATCTCATCTCGGGGCTGCCCCCAGGGGCAGGCAGCCCGTGCTCACTGTCTGCACCTTTCAGCCTGTTGTTCTAGGATCATCTGTGTGTGGCAGGACCCCCCATCTTCCCTGCCGCTGACCCGCCCTGCCGTCCATCAACACAGGCTGCCCTGCCCTGTCCCGGCACCTCCACCACCCCACGGGTTCCTTCACGGGTCTCACCGCAGGCTGGGCATGTACCGCCGTGTCTCTGACACACTGTCCCTGGCGCCATCCGCTCTTGACACTCCCTCCTCGAACCTGCCCCCTCCACATCCCCAACCCCCACTGCAG